GGATGAGGGTGGAACTGCAACTTTGGGTACTTCCAGGATTGCTTCAATTTTTGAGCCGCATTGTGGGGGCCTGATCCAAACGGTAAAACCCGAGTAAAATTGTGCGGTGAAGACCAACTGGCAGCAGCGCAGATGTCGCCCACCGGGACTCCTCTGAAAAGGGCCCAGGATGCAGCTACACCTCTGGTCGAATGAGCTCTCACTCCCTGAGGTAAATGGAGACCCTTGCTGACATAAGCAAGAGAACTAGCCTCCACCACCCAATGGGAGAGTCTTTGTCTGGACAGAGCTTTACCCCTGGCTGGATTGGCAAAACGCACAAACAGCTGATCACATAACCGCATACTCTGAGTACGGTTCATGTAGATACGTAATGCGCACACTGGGCACACAAAATGAGGCCTACTTTGTTCCTCTGCAGCAAAAGGAGGCAGATGAAAACTAGCCAGCTCAATGATCATGGAGCTGTAACTATATGGAAGCCCTTTTAGGACAAATGAAGCATTAGGTCGTAATGTGACCTTAGAGCCATCAGCAGAGAATTGCACACATGACGGGTGCACTGAAAGTGCATGCAGGTCACCGACACATTTAGCAGACGTCAGTGCAAGAAGCAGAGCCATTTTTTATGATAAGGTTTTTAAATCAACCGACTAAAGTGGTTCAAACGGTGCGTCACACAGAGCATCCAGTGCAACTGTTAGGTCCCAGGCAGGACCGCTTGGCTTAATTCCTGGTCTCAGTCTGCGGACCCCTTTCAGGAAACGAACCACTAAGGGGTGTGCACCTGGCGTCACTCCATCAATGCCAACATGGCAAGCAGAAATGGCAGCCAAGTAAACCTTGATTGTGGAGAAAGTTAGACCCCCCTCCACCAGTCCCTGTAAGAACGTTAATACGTCTACGATGGGGCGCTGGAATGGAGCAATATTCCTGTTCAGACACAACCTCTCAAAAGCTCGTCAATTTAAAGCAAATAAGCTTCTAGTAGATGGTGCCCTAGTGCACTGAATAGTCTCAGCCACAGCCAAAGGGCTAATAAGCTGGACCTCTCAGCAGGTAGAGATGCAACATCCACAGCTCTGGGTGTGGATGAAGTATCTCTCCCCTGCGACAGGATGGTGAGGGAGCTCCCAGGGCTCCTCCACCAGCAAGCTGATTATCTCTGCATACCATGCCTTTGCGGGCCAGCGAGGAGCCACCAGAATGGAGGTCAGGTCGTGTTCGCATACCCTCTCCAATACTGGAGGAATCATCTCCACAGGAGGAAATGCATACAGAAGCACTTTGGGCCACCGGTCAGCCAGCGCGTACACCCCAGCGGAGCATTCTGATCAGAGGGCAGTGGGTGTTGTCTTTGGTTGCAAACAGATCGACAGTTGCTCTCCTGAATCGTTGCCAGATTTGGGTCACCACTAGTGGGTGCAGTCTCCATTCTCTCACCATTGGGCTGCCCCTGGACAGCAGGTCTGCACCCAGATTCAGGTGCCCCGGCACATGAGTTGCTCTGATAGACAGAAGCCAAACACTGCACCAATGGAGGAGTTTGTGAGACAAGTTTAACAGGGGGTGCCCCCCATCTGTTTATGTATGAAACCACTGTGGTGTTGTCTGTTTGTATGAGAACATGTTGGTTGTTCAGGATCCCCTGAAAATGTCTCAGAGCTAGCAAAACTGCTAGTAGTTCCAAGCAGTTGATGTGGAGCCTGGACTGGGTCAGAGACCAGACCCCTCTCACCGCTATGCCGTCGCAAATGGCACCCCATCCTTTGAGGGAGGCATCCATGGACAGCACCTTGCGGAAGGACACTGCCTATTGGTGAACCTCGGTACAGGAGACCAGGTTCCCTCCATGGGTGAAGCGCTAACATGCACAAAACGGTTATCGTTAGCTTTCTGTGCAGGTGACGGATTGTGCACAGCCAGTGAGCGCGGGTCCAGCATTGAAACGCACGCATCATGAGCAGTCTGAGTGGCACAGCTGAAATTATGGAAGCCATTATGCCCAGAAGCTGCAATATTGTCCGGAAGCGCAGTTTGCGTCCCAGCTGAAATAAAGCTAGATGCCTGCGGAACGCTGTTATTCTGTGCTCTGAGAGACGGGCTTGGCCCGACAGGGAGCAAATCTCCAGACCCAAGAAAGAGAACTGTTGACTCGGGGTGGGTGAGCTCTTTTGAAAATTCACCAAAAAAAAAAAAAAAACCCAGATTTTGGATGCAAGACAAGACCTGCTGTAGTTGATCTGCCGCGCTTTCTCTGGACCTGGCTATTAGCGCCCAGTCGTCCAGATAAGCTAGGATGCAAATGCCCTTCTCTCTGAGAGGAGCTAATGCTGCTTCCATGCACTTTGTAAACGTGCGGGGTGCAAGAGACAGACCGAGGGGCATGACTTGGTACTCGTAGGCTATGCCCTCGAAGGAAAATCGCAGGAACTGTCTGTGTTCTGGATGTATTGCTACATGAAAGTAAGCATCCGTGAGATTGATCGTAGCGAACTAGTCGCCCAAACTCACAGCGTTCAACAGTTGTCTCAATGTTAGCATCTTGAACCTGAACGTGCAGAGGTGTTTGCTTAGAACACGTAGTCTAGAATGGGACGTAGCCCGCCTCCTTTTTTCGGAACTGCAAAGTACCGGCTGTACCAGCCTTTGTTTGCTTCCAAAGCTGGGACCACACGTATTGCTCCCTTTCCCAGTAGGGTATTTATTTCCTCTCACAATACGATCGCCGCTTCCAAAACCACGGTCGTGTTTACGACTGAGCAGAAATGTGGTGGTCTGGCTCGAAACTGCAACCGGTAATCCATAGTAACCGTCTTCTCTACCCATGGGGATGAGGCGCATGCGCGCCACTGAGAGAGACGCTCCATGAGACGATGGACCTGTCGTGTCGCGGGCGGGGAGGTGCTGCCCTCTACCAGAGCGGGGAGGGACAGCTCTGTGAACTGACATGCCCTTAAGCATGCAGTTAATGGTTGATTTAGAGTTATTTTGTTCTATTTTTGCTTTATTAACACATTTGAATAAACAATCGTGTGTTTTGGGAAAACATGCTTGGGAGGCTGTGTGGGGAATGCAGCGCCGTTTGGGGCTGGGGCCTCTGAACGCATGCACTGCATGCTCTGAAAACAGGCTGGACCGCGAAGCGAACATGTCTCCCTGCTCCGGATGTCCAAATGGAGACGGTAGCTCATTGCTAGGACGAGTGTGTCTTCTTCCGCAGAGATGGAGTCTTGCTTGAAGTTAGAGGGTGGGCTTTTGCTCCAGGCCGACTGACGAGGAGCTTGCGACTAGGTTTGTGGCTGCTGAGACAAAATCCCTGTGGCTGCAGGTGCATTCATCCTCTTGGTTGGTTGTGGGGTGGTCGTTGGTTTGCGTGAGCTTGGACTGGGCCTCCCTCTTGCGTCCTGTCTGGGAATGATGCAGCGGAGCGCCTCGGTTTGTTTCTTTCGGAGCTCAAGCTTTGCATGCATAGCGTCCAAGGTCTGCCCAAAAAGTCCCCTCAGAAGACACTGGCTCGTCTAAATACAGAGCCCGGTCCCTGTCCGGGACATCCAATAGGGTTAGCCACAGGTGCCTCTGGGCTACCACTGTTGACGCCATTCCTTTCTAAGGTAGATTTTTTCCAGCTGGGATGCTAAGAACCTGCACTGTTTGGAAGGCAGGGCTGCGGAGCCACTCGCACCCGGGTTGTGTGATGGTGCCAAATACGCTGCCAGAGATAGTTCCATTAAAGGAAGTCCAACCAGACTGGCTTTTCAGTGCACTCGAGGTCCACATTTTGGAAAAGGGGAATAAATGACAGGTCGTCCTGGGTCACCGGAGAGGCAGCGGAAAAGGCACACACTGAGCCGCAGAGAAATCATCATCTCCAGATATACTCCGGTCATCCGTGTGGATGTCCAGAACGTCGTCGTGCTCATCCTCTGTTGGACTAATGTGTGGAGGGACCAGGAAATCCTGAGTCTCGGGTAGCCCTTCCATGAAGTCCACTTGGTCCGCCCAGCTGGAAGCGGGGACTGTGACCAGGCAGCCGTCCTCGTCGGACTTGGACGAAGCTGTGTCTCTCGACTTGGAGAGCATAGGATCCTGTTTGGAGGCGGCAGCCTCCCCCATGACCTTGAGAACAAACTTAACCCTGCGTTCCAGCATTGAGCACTTAAGCTGGCTGCAGAACAAACATGCGTCCTGCTGCGTCAACGCTATCCAGGCGTGGACAATACTGAGACAAACAGGGCAAGCTTCATGTAAATCCTGGTCGTGAAGCGTGAAGCCACATCCCTGCGGGCAGGCTCATATGGACTTCTGCTTCTTTGGGACAGACCTGGTGCTCATTCCGAACCACGAGGTCCAACAGCGGAAGTGTTAGCGAGGTTTAACGGTGCTAGCGATCAGCGAGTAGGCACACTTACCAGCAGGCCGCGGTCTCATTCGACACGAACATTTAAGCTAGCTCTAAAAAACACAGCGAAGAAGAGTGCTAACTAGCGGTAGCTACTTAGCTAGCACAGATTGAGTGGGAGGCGTTCCAGCGAGGTGAAGAGCGTAAGAACTGGAGCAGATCGAGCCTGCCCCCTACGGCACACGTCATGTGGCCTAATGGCGTGATTAAAGGTGTCTTCAGTCACACCATGCAAGTGCATGACATCCCATACTATATGTATTGTACCGAGTGAATCGACTGAAAGTGAACCGCGTGAGTGGATGAAATTACAGCTGATACATCTGCTGCAAAAGAAAGAAACAAAGTTTTGTGCTGGATTTTCATTTCACAAAAAGTCAAGAGGAAAAAACAAACAGACCCAACAGTTTCAGCTCTCCGTATGGCGAGCAAAGATGTAACAGTTAGCATCTCGTCATTTTACTCCTGCAATCTGGAAACTTGCAGAGAATTTTTTTTCAACCTCACACATGTAAACGAACCGGGCATATGTGGAAGAATATGTCGGATCAGTCTCAGTGTTTACCGCTGAGTTATTAATGACTTTACATCTCTGTACCTTTATCCTGTCCATGCAGGCCTCCATCTTCAGCTGCTCCACAGCTTTCCTGGCTTGAGAGATGCTGGCTGTGCTGTTGTTGGCGATCCCGTCCTTCATGGTGCTCCTGCCAGGTCCAAACAGTCACAGAGTTACTGCCTGAACACTAAAAACCAGACAGTAACAGTAAAAATCAGCCACCAAACCAGTGGCGGATGGTGGGAGTCAATGTAGATCCGCCATATTAGACAGGGAATGCAAGAGTTGGATAAATCACCTGTTTAATCAAATATATCAGATGAAAGGAACGTGTTTGTTGTTTGACAGGAATAGATTTTACATGCATTTTTATCACATTGGATATTCAGTTTCTGCACAATTTACTTGAAAACGCTTGAGTGGAGTCTGCTGCAGCCACAAGAATGTTTTTCATGCAATTCCTAAATCCTGCTGCTTTAGCCCCCTGGACCCCCCCCCCCCCCCCAAAAAAAGGTAGAAGTGCCCCAGTTTAGTAGCAGCACCTGACCACAGATGTTTCATAACAATGAACAGATTAGGCATTTGTGCGTGTGTGTGTGTGTGTGTGTGGGGGGGGGGGGGGGGGGGGGGGGGGGGGGGATTTGCATCAAGTTATTCCTTGTTTTTTTTTTGTCGCGTTACATCAGAGATATTCTTGGAAAAGGGAACGTTACATTTCGCGGCTTGGAGACCAAATCACAGGTTTCAGACCCCCCCCCCCCCCCCCCCACGCAGAAAGCCATCAGGCCTCCTTCAGGTTTCCCCTGCATCCCGAGGCTCTTCTCGCCTGGATTCAGTCGTTTTATCGTCACCCCCCCCCCCCCCCCAAAAAAAAAAAAAACACCCCAGAGGGAAGCAGCACGCGCCTCTTATTTCTAAGGATGATTATTATTTCCCAAACACAGAAGGAGCTGCGGCCCTGACTGATCCAGACCTGACAACATCAAACCAAATACAAACATCACAATAAATAATAAAACGCGTCCGGATTCCTCGCGCGCGCCTTTAATCCAGCCAGCGTCCAAGAGCCTACCTGAAACGTGCCAATGGTTTTCCAATTTGGAGAAATCCGGATCGACTCCACCCAAAACACACACACACATACACACAAGGAGAAGATGATCTGCCACACACACATGCACAAACACACGCGCGCACTCCCAGAAATAAAAATAAAAAATCAAATGATGGGAGGAAATCCCAGTCTCGCTTCTGATCCGGACCGAACCCGAGCAGAAACGATCCTCCTCAGCGTGAGTCGTGCGTGTTCCGAGCCGTGGGCACCGGAGACGTTAGCGCGTGCAGCACCAGGAGGGTGGGGGACCTCTCGGTGTGACGAGATGTGCAGACTGTGGGGCAGGGATCGATCAGAGGACCACGGAGCTGCAGCCACGACGCGTTTCCGCTCTACGAGCCGGCCCTGAACGCACCCACCCACCGTTTAATCAGAAAATTGCCACTTCCGTTTTTAATCCGCGGCTCGCGAAGGCACCACGGCTCCAGGCTTCCCCGTTTCATATTTTACACCAGCTTTGACATCACCGGGTCCTCCCGGTGCAGTAATCCGTCATCATCCGCTCACAGAAACCATTAAAGCATCACTTCAGAGAAACACGCAGATTCTCTGGCATCATCTCCAGATCTGATGGCGTTCTCTGTTTGAAGGAACATCTGGATTCATTTTATTTTAAAGGCCTCTGAACGCAGCTTTCTCCCTCAGCTAAAAAAAAACAGACCCAACAACAAGCTGTAGCAACATTACTTCAAATATTTATATGTATTTATATTATACTCATCACCTGGCTTGTCCATGACACAAATATATATATATACATACATGAATTAATACAACTCAAAAGTCCTTATCTGCAAAAACAAGACAGGAAAAAAAAAAGAAAAGTAAGACAGCGATCTTAAATTATGCATAGTTTAAGTTATTAACAGAAAAATAACATCTGCTGGATCACATTTGAGCCTTTTTCTCTTTAATTACATTAAAACAATTCACATAAATGCACATAAAGGTGTTGAAAAGAAGAAATGAGTAACACCGCACCTTCCCTGAGTCCAGGTAGGTAGAGGGGGAAGAACAGAAAAACAAAACAAAGACACAAGAAAAGAAGGAATGGAGACTGATCAAAGTTCCCTTTCTAGTAGATAAATCTGTAAACTTTCTCTGCATTTAGCACGGCTGTTACGTTTAAAAAAAGCTTCTGGCTTTTCTAAAAACCTTTTCTGTGTGGTATTGCTTTCTGGTTGTTTTATTGGAGGTATGAACTCGAAGCTCAGCTTTACTTAAAAATAAACTCAAGTGCTTCTGATGAGCGTTTGACTCGCGACAGCATGGCTAAGTGCAGCGGCTCTGGTGGAAATTTAAAGAAAACGTCATCAGACTGCTCCTCGTTTACCAATGTGACCCGTCTGGGTTTATTTATTCATTTGTGGGTATTTAATGCTGTTTGTTAGAAGTTCAAAACCACCTAAAAAGAGCAGCAGTCTGAGGGAAAGATGACTAAACAGCAGCCAGCAGCCAAGGGGGCATTAAACAAGGAGCTCGTGACGGTAAATGCCATCTCCACATCCGCCGCGTCAAGGCTGGCATCATCCCAGCATGCAGAAGTAGGACGGAGCAACAGGCGTCACCATTCGCCCCGTCCCGTCTCCACGGCAATCTCTCCTTGGAGCTCGGATGCAAAGCGAAGCCCGGGCCGTGACGCCGGAGTGGAGACGACAGCCCCCGCAGAGGGACGTCTCACTCCTGCCGAGCGACAAGACGCCGGGAGGAGGGGCTCCGACGGGGAATCTACCGGTGAGAGATGGGATTCTGACGGATAGCAGCTCACCCGGAACAAGCTAAAACAAATCAAAGAGTTCAACAGGAAACACAAACTCAGCAGGACGTTTTGTAGAAAGTGTCTGTTGCAGCCTCGAGTCTTCATTCATTCCTTCAACATTCCACTTGGTAATGTTTATAAATATATATCTATGTACATATAATACTTGTTTCTCGTTTATGAAATGCTGGGAGAGCTTTCTCAGGTGGGGCGGGCAGGTGGGTTTGGGGGAGGGGGTCGAGGCCATGCTGACATGTCAGTGCATCCTGGAGGAGGAGGAGGACGTCCTCTTGCTGCGACGTGGACAGCAGTAAACATCAGATCCCGTCAGCCAGCGGCGTAGTTGCTCAGGAAGGAGTAGAACATGGGCAGCTTCATTCGCTGCTGATCACGTCGGCACCACGTCATCACCGTGCCCTCGCTATTGGCCGTGTAGAGGTGGTGGCCGTCGCACGAAAACGTCAAACTGGTGAGAGAAGATTCTGTTATCAGTGATTTTCCACCAGATGAGAGGAATAGTGGCGCCGCTAGAATACCTGACGATTGGTTTGTTAGACTTTGGGAAGGTGATCTCTCTGACTGGTTTCAAGTCCCAGGTGCTCCACAACCGGACGACGCCGTTCTCCAGTCCTCCGGCGATGACGTTGACGGACACGCCCTCGGGCTGGTTGGAGAACGCTACGGAGCAGATGGTCTCTCTGCAATGGACGTGACCGATCATGTCGCCGTTCACCGTCCACAGACGAAGGTCGCTACCTCCGGCTTCTGCGTGCAAAATCAGAACTCACAGCTTACAGAGCGACACGGATGACACGCCTGTGAATGGGACGAGTCCTCACCAGAGTCACAAACTGTAGCTATGTCCCCCGTGGTCTCGCTGGCAGAGACGGCCGTCACCGGGCTCTTGTGGCCGGTGAGGCTTTGGACGTAACACAATCTAAAATAACACACACACACACACACACACACACACACACACACACACACACACACACACACACACACACACAGGCGTTTAGAAACACAGACCCATTTTGTTCCCGGGTCTTTGTTACCGACACGCTCACCTGTTGAGGTCCCAGAGGATGCAGGTGCCGTCGTTGCTGACACTGATGAGGATGCTGTAGGGTTTACAGACAAACAGGCCGGTCACCTCACCTGTGTGTCCGTACAGGTGAACCTGAGACTCCACCTCCATCTCTGATGGCTTCAGAACGACAGAAGCAAACAAGTTAAAGACAATGGCTCTTCTCTGGTGCTGTCTGGGCGTACGTTAATGATTCTTATGCTATTTATTCCTGGTAATCAGTGTTGGGCAAGTTACGTCAGAACTGTAATCATTATTTATTACTTGTTACCCTCATTTTAAAGTAATTCATTACATTACAATATTACTGATTTTAAAATGTAAGGCATTACACTACTTTTGCATTACTTTAAGTCACCAAAACAACTTCAGTATGAATCTGGTCATGTGACGCTCAGTGAGCTCATGACATATATGTGGAAGGTGATGTGGTGTCTGAGCTAGGGTTGCTGTTAAAAACAGTCAGATATAATAACAGTGCTTTAAAATGATTGTTTACTAAATAAAAGCAACAACAATCTGTACTCTCAGCACGCTGCCGTCTTAGATTAACTGAGCAGGGAGTGAGGTGGTGGGGGCTCCAAGCCTATATTTGCCTTGGTCCCCAAATGCCTTGATACGGCCCTGGATGTGGGACTGACTCCTGGGGTGATCTGATTCTATCACATGTATAAATATTAAATGCTTATATATTATTGCTTTTCACTGGTAAACATGTGTATTGGGGATAAATCTACCAACTTTTTTTCTTTTCAAGCACTTTGTTTTGTTTTCTTGATTTTATTTGAATAATTTCCGGCCCTTTCTCTCTCTAACCTTCCTGCGTGCTGCATGTTTTCTCCGTCTTCCAGAAAAACTGTTTCCTAGACTTCCTACTTTCTAACTAATCAGCCAAAGGGATCTACCCAACGCAAAAAACGCTTAACATGCGCTGCGCTGCAGCAGCAATGAGTTGAAGTCACTGGGGCACAGATTATGAACTCAGCTGAAAAGTACATGAAGTACCAGAGAATATGAGCTGATATAAACGATCGCAAACGAATGACTTTGTTTTGGTGGAGCGATTTTGTGAATATAACAGCGGCCGCGCGCAGGACGCAGCTGGAGTATTTGAGCCGTCACCGCTGCGTCCTCTCTGCTCAGAGAATGCCCGCAAAGCTGAGTCCATAAATGACGTCATATATGTAGATACCGGATCTTTTTTCAGGCTTCCCGCAATTTGAATTTTCAGGAAACCCACATCTTGATTCTGGGTTTAAAAATGCGTTGTAATTACCGCGTTACTGACAATTGTACCGAGTAAATATTACCATTTTCTTTCCCTGTAACTCCTTACATTACCACATTACAGCAAAAAGTAATGCATTACAGTAATTAATTACTTTTGTACCGCGTTACTCCCAACACTGCTGGTAATGGTCGTCCAAATCCTGGGCTAGCTAATTTAGCTCTTTCCCAGTTGTCATTTTGTGACCATAAATCAGTTTTTTGTCAATATTTGCAGTCTGTTAAATTCTAATGCTGATGCACACAACTAATCCCGATGTTCTTGCTGTCTCAGAGTTCTGGCCTGAAAAAGGAGCACTGATCCTGACATCCTTATACTTGGTTATAATGTGTTTCGTCAGGACAGAGCTACGAGGGGTGGTGGTGTGGTATGTGTAACGTGAGGAAATATGGGTTTTCTGTGCCAAAGGTTGTACTTGGCCCGGCTGGGTCAAAGCTGGGTCGAGCAGAACTTTCACCCACAGAGTGAGACCTTTGCCGACATGAAGTCTGCAAGAGTCTGCTGCAAACCATAACATCTGCCACCTGCAGTGCCAGAAGATGTTGTTCTCATGAAAGCTAGTCATAATAAAGAGTCTTACGCTTCCTTTGTTTATTAAAGCTAAATAATCATTTTACCATTTTACTCATTATAAATGTGTTTTAATCAAATGAATTATTATTATGCTTTGGTTAATCATAATAACTATAATGAGGCAATGCTTAATTAAGTAATGTTTTGAAGATGTTTTAGTGGTGACCTTCACACTCGCTCACACACACTCTCACAGTAAATTCAAAACACATTTGCTGACGCACAAGTTTTGTTTTGAGAAGAGAAAGGCTTTTGGTAAGTTTTCAGTTCTTGATTCAGTTCAGTGTTTGACAACGAAAGAGGGAGGACTTGTGAACAACCGCCAACGGGGAACGGGGCTGCGGCTCTTTTCTCCCCCCCCTCACGCTGTCCCTGCCAAGCCAGACAGGATAGCCGAATTGCAACCAGCTAACGCAGACTCGTCCCGAGTCTTTTGATTTCTGAGTAATTTAAACTTAAGAAAGCGCATCTGCAAACGCTTCATCATCACGTGTACCGAGGGGCAACTCTGGACCGGGTCGCCAGCACACCTCCGTCTCCTCTGCCAGCCGAGGTGTCATCTGGAGTACCACCCTCCTGGGTCCCGGATCTAAAAGAGGGTCCGAATACGGTGAGGCAGTCCACGACAGATAGCGTTTGATGCATCTTTTCCAACAAAACCTAAGTTTATTCAAACCATCACTTTTCACTCAGACACCTGTTTCTTCCTGAAGCAAAATCAGTCGCACACACGCATTCAGCTCACCTCATTCTCCATTTTCACACATTCAACACAAGGTCTATCTGAGCAAGTTTAAAATATCAACTGTTAAAGATTGTTCAACAAAGTTGCCAATGTTGATTGTTATTTCCTATGCTTGTCATTTCAAAATCATTAGTTTAATTTGAAGAATTAAATCTTTTAACTTTCAAACTTGTCTCTTCATTGAACTGAAACACAGACCCACGGATATTATCGACAGTTTATCGATGAAAACAACCTTTGAGTCTTCTTAAAACTATAAAATTTGGTTATTAATTTATTAAAAATTAATATCTCAAATTAATATGTAGGATGGTTCATCTTTCATAAAAGAGCATAAACCATTACACTACATAATTAGCAGAGCCTAGCCAGGTTCTCTACATATGTATGCTAAAGACCACTTGCAACGTACTGTTGCTCCGTCTAAATCAGTTCCTAAACGATTTGAGCTACCGATGCTAAAACTTAAGCTTTCAACTACTTTCTCTGTTTCTGTGGCGGTTTGCTACGCTTACAGCTCTCAGTCAGCTCCTAGCGCCTCACATATGCTCTGAGTTTGTTCTCATGGGTGATCTAAACTGGGATATGATCAACCTTCCAATTACAGTCTTGCAGCAGCTTGATGCTTTAAACATCACCCAAATTACATCTGAACCCACTAGACCGTTGTCATCATCCACTCTGATTGATTTCATTCTGACTAACAACCCATCTAACTACAGAGCTGGAGTTTTCACTCAGATAAGAGATCTCGGAGCTACTGCATGTATACACTCTGGCTTTTCAGTTAAAAGACCACCTGTAATTGTTACGAAGCGCCCTCTAAAAAAATTGGACATGCAATCGCATGTTGCATTTCTCCAAGATGTTGAGGCTGTGACCAGGGACAGAACTAGATCCATCCCCTCCTTGGATGAACCATGGTCCTTTTTCAAAAACACCTTCAGTCTGATTATGAATAAACTTGCTCTTCTGAAAACAATTAGAATGAAAAATCATTACAGTCACTGGTTTTCTAATGACCTGGATGAGCCTATTCACTGAAAAAATGCCTTTTGGAGGATCCTCAGCTGATTGGCTTGCCTTTCATCAATGCAGGAATAAAGCTAAACAGACTATCAGAAATGCTGAAAAACTTACTGCAAGTGGCCCTGATGCTAAGTCCTACTGGAAAATGATCGAGGTAATTATGGAACTAGGATTGGGACAATATTAAATTTAAGATGTACCAAGCTCTGTAACTTGTACCGTATTTTCCGGACTATAAGCCGCTACTTTTTTCCCACGCTTTGAACCATGCGGCTTTACTGAAGATATTCCTCCACCTGCCACTAGGGGGCGCTTTAGCAGAAAGTGAAACAGGTGGAAGTCAAAAGTGGAAATGGAAGAAAGTGCTCATTTTAATTTAACACATGCAAGCAGCCGGCACCACGAAGACTTTGTTTCTAATCCATCCCCCCTCATCATGGTAACTACACGTATGAGTTCATATGATGCAGCATTTAAGTTGAAGGCATCGATCTGGCAGTAAAGGAGGGAAACAGTGCTGCCGCATGTAAGCTTGGCATGAATGAATCCGTGGTTCGGCGCTGGAGACGGCAGCGGAAAGAATTCATTCAAGCCAGCTTCTCCCGGGGATGATGACAGCAACACGGACAGCGACACGGACAGCGCCACAGAAAAGGTATGTGACGAAGCTCTTCTGAGGCTGTTCAACTCCGACACTGAAGAAGAGGACTTTAATGGTTTCAGTGTGCAAGAGGAAGATGAGAGCGAATGACTTCTGGTAGACAAGTGTGTTTTATTTACTAACCAGGCATGTTTTGTGTGCAGTTGTTATTTTCTAACCATCCAGGACTTATTAATGCTGAGTCAGCGCTGTTCTTTCCGTATAAACATGCAAATTACCGGTAATAACGTGTCAGTGCTGTTTTTATTTTATAACCATCCAGAAATATGAATGCTATCAGTGCTGTTTTCTTTTCTAAACTTGCAGGCACGTTCACCCTTGTTTAAAATGCGTTTTGTTGAATTAAAACAACAAGGAAAAACCTCAGTGTAGCGTCTTTCTGTCTAATTATCTTATGTTATGGCCGTACATGCGCTGTGCGCCGGAGACCTGCATGTGGCTGCTGCACCGCAGCTTGCATTTGAGTGTGGCGTGTGTGTGTAGAAAACCTTTTTTATGTTGGTGCGGCTTATATTGAGGTGCGCTCTATAGTCCGGAAATTACGGTAATCTGTTTTGTAACAGTGACTTTGGTTTTGTGACAGGTACATCAGTTTTGTAGCCTGTAATTCACATTTTGTAACATGTAACTTCGGTACGTAACATGAAACTTATTTAGTAACTTACAGAAAAAAAAAATCAATGTACAAGTTTCAAATCACAACTTTCAATTCGCAAATCTCAGTCTACAAGTGCAAACCATTTTGTCCCAATTCTAGCTGGCGTCCAACAGGAATTGTCTTGGAAAGGAATCCAAGACTCATGATTGGCTGGTCAGACAAAGCC